GGGATGAAATTAGTTTACATTTAGTGGTCAGGGTTCTCAGCACGATCCGAGCGCACGTGTCTGTAATAATATTATCAGTGTATAGCACGTGTGTTGATAAAAATATAAAAGAAAAAAAAAACAAAAAAGAGAGAGCCGCACCTAGCCTGTATAGGGCTGCAAAACTCTACTTCATCCGCGCGGCACTTTCCCTTGGTCTCGCTTGTCGCAAAGCTCGAGCCTCTTTCTTTCACCGCCCGCTTAGGCTATCTTCCTGCCGCATTGCTCAGTCTCCCACCCCTGCTCTCCTCAGCCAACCTATAATATTACGTATTCTGTCTTTAGGCTGTACTCGCACGCCTGAAACGTGCTCCGCATGGACATGACGGAGCAATATGCCTCCCAAAAGAATAATATTTTTTACAAAATATTCAGAATTTTAAATGAAAATATAAAACTCCTCTGGTAAGACATTGCGCATGCGCCAAAACAGTAACGTATTCAGGTTATATACAGACTGATATATGCAGTGGGGACTTTACATGCAAGGTCTGCTTCCTATTTCTGAATTGAGGTCTACTGATGGCATTTTATCATATAAATCTATGCTAGGATTACCCCTCTTCATTTTAAATTCATAATGTTTGCAAAATATATCTTTTTTCTCGGGAGATATTGCGCATGCGCGAGCACCATTTCAGTCGTGCAGTACGGCTAAAAGAAAAGCACGCTATATAGCTTGCTGAGGGAGAGAGTGGTAGTAGACGGAAAGAAGGCGGTAAGGAAAATAGCTGAGGGGCGGCGAAAGGAAAAAGAGGCTGAGCGTGGGACACGGGAGACCAGGGGAAGGGCGGGTGAGGATGAAGTAGCAGTTTTGCACCCTACAAGATAGGGCGCTCTCCTAATAATAAACACAGATCCACAGAGAATTTATTACAGAAATCGATGCTGAGATACTCCCTGACCATACTAAATGCATTTACATTACAAAATAAAACTCCTCTTGTTAGATATTGCGCATTCGCTAAAAGAGTAACGAAGCCATGTTAGCTAGTGACTGGTATATGCAGCGGGGAGCTTACGTGCAAGGTCTGCCTCCTATTTCTGAAGTGAGGTCTACTGATAAAATTTTATAACATTAAATACGAGTGTTTTAGTGTAGCATAGCGTAGGCGAGCAGGAAGCGTGGAGACATTGTGTTGGTCGGTTGTGAACGAACACCTAGTGCGCCCATGCAGCTGATATCACCTCCGTCTCGGGCATTTCATCGTGCCTTGCTGCGCATGAGTTGCGATAACACATTCCAGACATTTAGCACCAGGTGCTTGAAAAAAGTGTGAACAAAAGTGTTAGTAACATTAAAATTGATGTGCGCGTCGCACGCAACTATATCGCTCCAATGCATTTATCCACGTAATGCTAACCTGCCGCGCACTCCTATGTGCCCAACTTTGTAGCCTGTCTGGTTACAGGCACGCGCGCGCTTACCGTTGCCAAGCATTACCATTCATCTGTTCACTGAATGTTAGCGACAGATTTTTATGTGTACATCCCATGTCAATATATCAAAGAAATTCGCACGAAAATATTTTTCATGTAAATTGTATAAAGCTCGATCACATCCCGAGACGCCGCAGCGTCTATTCGCGAGCTTCTCTTCCCTGGAAACTACGATTTGCTCAATGATATAATACGTACAAGTACAGTTTTTCAGCAACATTGCTCGTCAACGGAAACTTGTAAATTTTCTGTGCCGGGATCTGTTGAAAATACCGGAGCACTACGCATCGTAGATGATACCACTTGACATAAAATACAGATACTCCGTCTATATAGCTGTGCAACGGTACCCCGAAAGCGAAAGTTTTAGGCATCTCCTTGGTTGGTTGCTCTCACAGAGTCCATCCGAATGCTCGCAGGACATAAAAATGGCAGTAAATGCACATATTCGACTCTATTCGTAATTAAAATATTACTCAAATGTAAATTAATAAAGCTGAAGGAGATAGCTGCTCTAGATCGCTACTCGAAAAAATAAGCCACTCAGAAAATTTGCTGTGTTAATTCGATACAGTCTTCACCAATCACATCCCGCGGTGTTACACCAGACAATGGTGGTTTAACCTTTACCTTTACATATAAATCTATGCTAGGATAACCCCTCTTCATTTTAAATTCATATTGTTTGCAAAATATTATTCTTCTCGGGAGATATTGCGCATGCGCGAGCACTGTTTCAGACGTGCAGTACGGCCAAAGGAAAAGCACGTATATAGCTTGCTGGGGGAGCGAGGGGTGGGAAATTAAGGGAAGGTGGCAGGGAAGAAAGTCGAGGGGCGGGAGCGAAGGAGGAGAAAAGGAGGAGGCAGAGCGTGCGACAAGGGAGACAAGGGAAAGTGCGCGCGGGGATAAAGTAGGAGTTTTACACCCTACATGCTAGGGCGCTCTCCTTATTATAAACACAGGTCTACTGATATTAATTTATTACAGAAAGCGATGCTGAGATACCCCCTGACCATACTAAATGCATTTTCATAAAAAAAAACTCCTCTGGTAAGATATTGCGCATGCGCTAAAACAGCAACGTAGCCATGTTATCTAGTGACTGCATGCATGGTATGTGCACCGGGGACCTTACATGCAAGGGCTGCTTCCTATTTCTGAAGTGAGGTCTACTGATGAAATTTTATTATATAAATCTATGCTAGGATAACTCCTTTTCATTTTAAGTTTACAATATTTGCAAAATATTATTCTTCTCGGGAGATATTGCGCATGCGCGAGCACCGTTTCAGACGTGCAGTACGGCCAAAGGAAAAGTACGTAAATATAGCTTGCTGAGGGAGTGAGGGGTGGGTGACTGAAGGAAGGCGGAAGGGAAGATAGCTTAGGTGCGGTGGAAAAAGAAGGAGGCGGAGCGTGCGACAAGGGAGACAAGGGAAAGGGCGATCGGGGATGATGTAGGACTTTTGCACCCTGCAGGCTAGGGCGCTCTCCTAATTATAGACACAGGTCTACTGATAAGAATTTATTACAGAAATCGATGCTGAGATACCTCCTGATCATACTAAATGCATTTTCATCACAAAATAAAACTCCTCTGGTGAGATATTGCGCATGCGCCAAAAAAGTAACGTATTCAGGTTATATACAGACTGGTATATGCAGTGGAGAACTTACATGAAAGGTCTGCTTCCTATTTCTGAATTGAAATTCCTCTTCATTTTAAATTCATAATTTTTGCAAAATATTATAATCTTCTCGGATGTTAGTGCGTATGCGCGAGCACCGTTTCAGGCGTGCAGTGCGACCTAAATAATAGTACAATAGTAGTAAATATATACGAAATGTATATATAAGATATATACGAATGTATATATATATCTACCACAGATATCAATAGCTACTGGAGAGCTAGCGAGCGCGCGCGTACTAGCCTTACATATTACAAGTCTACGTTAAATCCATGTACATGCTTGTAGGATCGGATATGGTGTGGCAAGATTCTGGAACTCGAGACTAGCCAATCCTTTCAATATCCCCTACCTAGGGTGCCTAGCAGCAGTATACGGTCGCGGTTCCTGTATTCAGGTCACTATTAGGCTATCAATCGGGAGTCATTTTTTTATACTTTCTATTTTTTTCATTTAGTGGAGACAAGCACAAAATAATATTATAGAAGCTATGGGCTTATATATAATTACGCAGAAGCACATGTTCAAAAACCTGGGGGGCATTTGATATTGTGTCCCCACCCTTCGAAAAGTGGGGGGATGTGTCCACCGTGTCCCCATGGCATTTGCGCCCATGCCTGTAAGTAGATTCATAGGAAAATGTCTTTTCCAGTGTTTAAACACTAATTTGCTTAGACTGTAAGATTGGGCAAGTTATGTGTTCGCGGCCTCGCGCATGCCAATTATTTGACAGATAAGATTGATTTTATATGATTTAAATTATACATTTAAAATAGAGGGCACATTCCCGGTACTCACAAGGAGTTTGCAATAAAAACGCCAATATAAATATTTTACCTCAATAATAAGCTGCTATCTTCTCGAATTTCCGTTTCCAGTACGGTAAGTTAATATATCTGTTTGAGTCTGCCAAATATCTGCCAAACGAAAATTACTTAATTTACATTATACGTTAAAGGTGGAGTGCACCTACATACGAGTGATTTTATATGAAAAATGTGTATGTAATCGTCCAGAATTTCGAAACACTGAACATGTACAAATTTCTCACTAGGTGACGCCAGCGTCCAATAGCACTGTGGTTCAGTTCCGTGCGCCTGCATGTTACGTGGAGTGGAATCGCGATTTCGTCATTCATTCAATATTCCGCGTATAAATACCCGTTACTGATAAATTGGTTTATTGAAAGCGTCTACAATGGGCGACATAGCAGAGGAGACTGGAAAGATTCGTATAGGTATGCATAACCAGGTTTAGGTAATACGATTGGAAGCACAAAGCCACAATACGTAGTAACACTGTAACACGTTTCATGTTGTAGCGGTCCAATGCTACTGCCTGTCTCGTACTCGTACTCGTAGTGAGGTGCAGTTCACAAGAACAACGCAACACCGTTTAAGTAGGCTTATGGGGATTCTTTATTCCAAACACTTCCAGTCACGACACATGTCACGATATATTCACTACGTATGCTACAGCCAGACAGGCTAGTAGTACAACTAGTGAACTACAAGTAGTACTGAAAGGCATTAATATCTAATCAATCATTGATCACTGTTTATCGACGTGTATTGTTAAACAGTTATATAGGTGAAATTTTTCATGATTTCCTTTACGTACCCTAGTTTGTCATCAGTTTGTCTTTTACGCGAACAATCAATAAATGTACATTTCGATCTGGACTAGAATGGCATATATGACATAACTCATTATCAGTTTCACTAACACTAAATAGAAATAGCACAGTACGGTACTATAGTGTACCGTACATTTGTGGGCAATTACTTTATATTATTATTTACAATAGCAGATACACTCTACACATCTGACATAGCTGGATGTGATGAAACGGGCAATGGTACGGAAGCCAAGCCATTCAAAACCGTACTAAAGGTGAGTATTTCCCAGTACAGCCAGTAATTCCAATGATTGTTTTTTTTACATTTGAGATGTAGGATGTAAAAACCCCAAACCATCACCTTGGATCAAAACACAGTTTGTCATATCATTCTGATAGAACATATAGGTCGTCAATCATACTCTTCCCGAGATCTGGCTTCGGCTTTGTACAGTCTTTCTAATCTCGCCACAGGATTAGCTGGTCAGTGCTTGAGTGTCCCATCTCTGGGTGTTCTTAGAACATCCCAGTCTTCTACTGCCGTGAATGTTCCACAACAAATAAACTCACTAGTGATGTTTGTTATTGGTTTTTCTAGGGTGTTCATAATCCATCCCCACATTCTCCTTAGTATCTGTATAAGAATGTAGATATGTGCACAGTTAGCCCATGCAACGTTGATGTTTCAGGCTATGCTACATGTAGGAAAGGAACCATTTCCGGCAATACACGTCAACGTGAAAATTGATGGAATGGTAAAATACATATAAATAAATGTGCTCAATGATTTATTTGGTATTTATTTATATTAAATTATAATCACGTAGACCTGTCTTCATCTAGCATTGAGCATATGACGATAAAATACATGTTTAATTTATGTTGTGTGTAACACCTTAATTTGTAGTACTCTACAGGTGTATGTCTATCACTATCTTTGACTGCCATTAAAATAACAACCACTAACAACTTGCCATTTTTTGAGAGATCTTTTCTTCACCCAGATGTATAGGCAGGTGGCCCCCTCTCTACACAAGATAGTACATTACATTATAGAACAGTTGGTGATAAGAAGAACTTGAGATTAGCACCGTAATCACACCTACGCTGTTTAAATATGTTTGTGGAATTGATAAATTTGTGATGTTTCAGAATACGTTTACCCCAGTGTCACAATCACAGCTGAAGAAAGCCAAGAAGTTATTTCAACAGGAGCTGAAGAAGATAGAAAAGAAAGCGCAGAAAGAGGTGCCCACACTTACACAATAAATGAGTCAGGTCGATTACTGCATGATTTGTAATGGTTGCAATTAGGTATTATTTGCAGCTGCTATCTATCGCGATGTCGTGTAATGGTACATCTAGCTGTACAGGTAACACACTTGCTGCCCAATCACTATTCAAGGAGCAAGCAAAATGCAGTAATAAATAATTAAACCTGTACATCAATTTTTCTATTGGAACAAATGTTGACCACCAGATGTGCACTACCCATTTACAGGCTGAAGATGCTGAGCGCAGAGAAAAGAATCTGGAAGAAGCCAAAAAAATTGTGATCAAGGAGGACGCAAGTCTTCCTACAGCAATGGAGGTACATGGGATTAAATGAGGTCTACTCTACAGTTACCTATTACAATGTGAATTCTAATAGACACGCGTGTTGCAAAGTGTTTGTTTCAAGATGCTGCAGCTGGCTGAAATACTGTTCCATTATCTGCCTCGATAATAAGAGTATCATTCTGCCTAAGCTCACCCTTAACATTAACCCTACCCCTGGCTCGAAATTGCCTCCAATCCTAACTCTAACCATAACTCCAAATCGTATTATTAACCCAAATTCGGAGTCTAGCTCTAACCATAACACTAACTCTATCCCTAACCCTAATCCTATCCTTAACCCTAACCCTGACTAGCACTAATTCATCGTGCATCTTTAAATGTTCATACTGGGCAGATAGTGGAAAAGCTGCGCCAATGGAAATAAATCATGCATTCCTTCCTCTCTGTGTAGATTAAGATCAGAGATGGAGACAAGCATCGTGATACGAGAGTTAAAGTTTACGGCTGGGTACACAGGCTGAGAAGGCAAGGTAATGTGACAGCGTATTAAGCGACCATCTGTTTCACTGCAAACTTCTCCAAAACGTGGTATAATATGACAAACACGAGGTAACGTTACACACTCTTTGTGAATTATGCTCGTGATTCTGTGGCAATGATGGTGTAACGTGCCAAACACGGTGCCATGTGTACATACTACATACGTCGTTACCTTGAACCCATGAGTTTTTGATGTGAGAAATTATATTTAATGTAATAAACGTGATGCGGTGTGTCCGTGTATGGTAACATTACACTCGTGATTCTGTTACTGGTGTACTCTAGCGTGATAAACACAGTTTACTGTTTTAAACACGGTGTTATGTATTCGTGCACGGTTACGTTATGGTCATAATTCAGTGACAGTTCTGGTGTAATGTAACAAACGCAGGTGTAACGTTTCAAACGTAGTGTAACGTAACAGGTCCATTGTGACACGTCCATGCACGGTTACATTAGGCTTATGATTTCGTGACAAATGTGGCGTAATGTTTCAAATACGGTGTAACGTGACAGGCGCATTGTGACACCCCCATGCACAATGACATTAGACTTACGATTCTGTGACAGACGTGGTGTAACATTTCAAACGCAGTGTAACAGGACGTGTCAATGATTTTCATGTCCATGATGTGTAACATGATGCTCGGTTGCAGGCAAGGCCATGATGTTCATCGTTCTACGCGATGGCACAGGTTACCTGCAGTGTGTGCTGACCGACCTGCTGTGTCAGACCTACGATGCGCTAATCCTGTCTACCGAGGCCACCGTCTGCCTGTACGGGATCATCAAGCAGGTCCCCGAGGGCAAGTCCGTAAGTGCCGGCACTGCTACATGGCTTCTGTGTTGCTACTGTGCTACCGGGGCACGTAGAAGGCATGTTGAACCCGGCCTAAAAAAACAGCGTTAAATGCGTTGAAAGAACCCTGTGTAATGTTAACAAGATGCAGGGATACTCTAGCCGCAAAGTAACGACAGTGGCCGTGTTTTGATGTTTGTGTGTGCTGCCTCTTTTTGCAGGCTCCAGGAGGGCATGAAATGCAGGTTGACTACTGGGAATTGGTGGCAGGATCACCTGCAGGTGGCGCTGACAACCTTGTCAACGAGGTAAGCAGATGAACTCTCAACGACACGCGGCCATGCTGCCCTGTTACGTTCAGATGTTTCGATGTAAGAACAAGAATGGTTCGTGGTAGTTTGAACTGCTGCAACCGAACGCTTTCTTATTATACTGGTCTGATGTAATGTAAGCATTGGCTCTGGATTGGGCCTTGCTTTGAGAGAATTTAATGTGTTGTTGGTGTAGTACGGCACGGAAACACCTCAGTTTCTCCGCTTCTGTTTCAGATGTCGCACATCGATGTTCAGCTAGATAATCGACACATCATGCTCCGCGGAGATACAGTAAGGCCACCATTTTTTATTTTGTTGGTTTACAGAATTTTTGTTGTTGTTGTTGACTCGGTAAAGTAAAAAAAAAAAAAAATCAGATGTCAGATCAAACAAGTCAAAATACAGTAATACTGTTATACATGATATTAAAGTAATTTAAGAAAACTAAATGAAAACAAAACTCAACTTGTAATTATTTTTACTTTTATTATAAACTGTTTGTTTATGAAATGTTTTTGTTTTTTACATTTAAATTTTTTTAATTCATATTTCTCAGAGAAAAGGTCGGCGGGAATAAAAAAATACAGATTTTCAATTTTTATTTTTTTTCGTTTTTCTTGAAAATTCGGGTCGGCGGATCTATAAACCAACAAAATAAAAAATTCTCGCCTAAGCATATATAGGCTTCCTTGAGCTTCAGCGTCATTGACTTTATCGCTTTACTTCCTAATATCACCTTTACATCTAATATACCTGACTGGTCTACTACTACTACTACTACTGCTGGTGCCACTGCTGAGTAACTTGTTCATCTTCGTTAATCTTTTGAGGTTCCTGGCAAAGTCCCCCTTTGGTAAACAGGTGGTAAGAACATGAGAGATTTATAATATCTTATCGGATAGTGATGGTGGTGGTGGTGCAAAGTCGGTCAGGGGTCGAAATTTGCTATATAGTGATTGCGCAACACGTGTTTTTCACCGAACCCAAGCGATGTTTTGTAGCAACTTGCGGCTGCCGCAAGTCAAAAATATGCCGGCTACTTACGTATTTAGAAGTCAGACCCATTGTATTTTGATTTCTGTCAGTTTGACAAGATGACAGTCACACTGACTCTGAATCAGAGCAGGAAGACACAGAAGACATAGAATAAATCATAATCTAATACAGGGAGGAAGGGAAGGGGTACTGCCAGTTTGGAGAGCAACAGAGGTAGGTGCAAGTAAAAATCTCTTGGCACAAGTAATTGTTTAACCTAACTTGTGGCATGCGCAAGTGTTTTTTTTTTAGCAAATTTCGACCCCTGTTGGTGTAAGTTTTTTCTGTGTCTAAGCAGTACATAATATTTTTCTTTATTATGTGATACTCAGGTGTCAAAAATATTGAAGGCACGATCTGTGGTGACTCAGTGTTTCCGATCGCACTACTTTGAGAGAGGTTACTTTGAGGTAAGTGGTAAATTATTGACTCATGTAACTAAAATGTTTTTAATGTTCCCAAAGTAATGTGAAATAAATGAGTTGTTATTTAATCATTTCATATAGAACTGTTAAAGCTAGATATGTCTACAGGTAGGTTAGTCAGTAATTTAGAGTCTTGTTGTATATAGCTGTGATTGCAATGTGAGAATTTATAACAACTTTTCAGAATTGCTCCTATTCGGTGTCTTGTACTGAATAACCAAAGCAAACATTACTTTGCACAAACAGGTCACTCCTCCGACAATGGTACAGACGCAATGTGAAGGAGGATCGACATTATTTAAATTTGACTACTTTGGAGAGGAGGTAATTGAATTATGTTTGAATGTCGAAGGTATTGAATTCTGTGTGGTGAACACTTTCCTACAGAGGGGGCATGTCACAGGGAGCATAATACTGTGTTAGTATTATATAGTGGTGGCCGTGTGATGACTAGGTTCATGTATCTTTTCAGTCCTACTTGACTCAGTCATCTCAGCTGTACTTGGAGACGGTCATACCTGGTCTTGGAGATGTCTTCTGCGTGGCTCAGTCCTACCGGGCAGAGTTGTCACGAACGCGGCGTCACTTAGCGGAGTATGTCATGCAAACCGTCGCGTCCTCTAAAATATATCGATAATAACGTCACATTTGCCAAGTGATAAGGGTGGTTGATTTCCCCCCAAAATGTATGCAGGATCTATGTACAGTTATGTAGTCTATGTACATTAGTGGTAGCAGCACGTGCGTAGGTACATGCATCTAATATACAGTAATATAGGTATACATGGCTACGTTCGTGCGTAGGTACATGCATCTAATATACAGTAATATATGTATACATGGCTACGTTCGTGCATAGGTACACGGATCTAGTATACGGTAATATAGGTATACATGGCTACGTTCGTGCGTAGGTACACGGATCTAATATACAGTAATATAGGTATACATGGCTACGTTCGTGCGTAGGTACACGGATCTAATATATGGTAATATAGGTATACATGGTTATGTTCGTGCGTAGGTACACGGATCTAATATACAGTAATATAGGTATACATGACTACGTTTGTGCGTAGGTACACGCATCTAATATACTATTAGGTATAAATGGCTAGTTTGTGTCGTAGTAACGGATCTAATATACGAGTATATAGGGTATCATGCTACGTGGTCGAGGTGCGGTAGGTACAGGATCTTATACAGTATATAGGATACATGGGTGATGTTCGGGTAGGACACGGATCTAAGGATCAGGAATAGTAGGTATACAGGGGCTACGCGCTGTTAGAAGCGTAGGTACGACGGATCTAATTATACGTATATAGTCATGACAGGGGCTCGTTTGTGCGTAGGTCACGGGTCTCATACAGGAATGTAGGTATACATGGTTATGTTCGTGCGTAGGTACACGGATCTAATATACAGTAATATAGGTATACATGGTTATGTTCGTGCGTAGGTACACGGATCTAATATACAGTAATATAGGTATACATGGCTACGTTTGTGCGTAGGTACACGGATCTAATATACAGTAATATAGGTATACATGGTTATGTTCGTGCGTAGGTACACGGATCTAATATACAGTAATATACATGGCTACGTTCGTGCGCAGGTACACGCACGTTGAGGCGGAGTGTCCCTTCATCAACTTTGAGGATCTGCTCACCCGGCTGGAAGACCTCGTGTGTGACGTCACAGATCGCGTGCTCAAGTCACCGTTCGCTCACCTCGTCCACGATCTGAACCCGGTATGCTCACCCATCTGTCTAGCAGCCCATTTATGCCATGGCGTCTATGTGGACGTGCATTGTATATAAAAACTAATGCATTGTGATGTACTATAATAAAAAGTTAATGTGCAAGTAAAGCTATGGATTGGTGCATAAAGATTGTCATATTACAAACATAATTCTTGTTTCAAATATTTTTCATGCATCAATTTTCCAGGAATCTAGATTCAATCAATTTAACAAGTGTAGTTCGGTTCCTGTAGGGGGCTGCAATTTGTAGGCTGTGTTTCGGAATATTCTATAAACTCATATAGAATATAGTAGAATATAGAGAAAAAGTGTTAGATGAGATGTTGACTAGCATGGCGATCGATGAGGCAGTATGGACCTTTCTTATGGTTACTTTCTTGCAGGGATTTGTGACGCCTAAGCGACCATTTAAGCGTATGAACTACACAGACGCCATCGAATACCTCAGAGAAAACAACATCACGAAGGAGGATGGCAGCTTCTACGAATTTGGAGACGTAAGCTCTTATCAATGACATACATGAGCTTATTCAAGTCTTTTGCTATTTGATTGTGCGACATTGCTCAAAAGTAGTTTGTACTGTATTTCTGATTAGTACACTGGCATTATTTGAACATCACGTCATGTCTGCTCACGTGTAGATGTATTGTTTGTCGTAGTCGCTGCTTAAACAGATAACCAGTCTGATGCTTTAAGAGTAGGAGATAACCTCACAGCGCCACGTGGACGTTCTGTAATGTGCCTACCAGTGCTGCCCGTTTTATATTGGTATCCTAATTTGCATTTATTCATTGTATGATATCCGTTGAGGTTTCGTTCATCGATCATCTGTATTACAGGACATACCAGAGGGCCCAGAGAGGCAGATGACTGATAAGATCAACGAGGTAAGGTCTTCCTACGCGCACCTATCAACGTTTATCGCACCTACCAAAAGGTCTTCCCACTTGCCTTCCTGCCTGCAGAAAGATTCCTGCTTGCTCCTGTTCTTGAAGGAAAAACTTCCGTTTGCGAAGTAATGAAACGCGGGTGTAATTGGTAGGAGATATTGTGCAGTTATTGCCCTTGTAGGAGGGAGACACGATGATTTGTCTAGACAAGCGAAGTCATGTTACCCAAGGGCAAAGCCAAAAGGGGCACATGACTTCCTGAAGTTAGTAACACAGTGTGGTCAGTGGGTGATAATATTGGTGAATGATTGGCCATCTACAAGGTAGGCACGACAAGTTGTCAAAATTCAGCCATGTCTGCTGTGAGCTGAGATGAAGCGAATGTAATTGGTCAATGTTGTGATTTGTTTGCTATGCCTTGCAGCCAATCCTCCTGTGCAGATTTCCAGCTGAGATCAAGGCCTTCTACATGCCCCGCTGCCCAGAGGACAACCGCGTGACCGAGTCTGTAAGTATTAATATAAGAAGTAACACGACTCGTTCTTGCATGAGCTTATGCAAGCCATTTGCTATCAGATCGAGTGGCGTCACTCAAAGTTGGTTATGCGGTTATGTCGGGTTGTGTTTTACGTCGAAACGCTGTCATTAGTAGAAATATTGCATGTTGTGGAGAGAAAGGTCTCTGGTGCTTGTCTTATTTTTTGTGCGAGCTGTTAAACAGTTGTTGCTTTAGTTGCTTCCAATGCGATCCTTGGATGTTATAATTTATTTGGCTGTCCTTACAACAATTACCTGATGATCACAACGTACCCAGTCGTCTGTGGGTGGTATTGTACTGTTGTGGGTTGTTGCTGTGGGACTGGACATGCGGCGGATCTGAGGGTAGTCTCAAGCTTGGTGATGGTTTCAAGTTTGGTGACGTTAGTTACTCATTTAAGTGTTTTAACTCCAGTAGAGGGCGCTAGCAGTCGAGCATTGCAACGCTTTCATGCGAAGACGCAGTGTTTCGTTATTGTTTATCTACCCACTCACATTGTTTAGACCTATTTTTAAGTATTATCCATAAAAAATCTCAATAATTACCTTGTACATTCATTCGAAGCATTAGGCATTAGCAATCCACATTTATTAACCCTTTTAAATCTTTGTCCAATGATTTAGTACATTCCTACAAAACCTTTGGAATTTCAAGCAAGAAGTTTCAAATTTGACGAGGGATTTCCACCCTATAAGATTTTTATAGGTGCAACAGGCATCAAAATCTCTTTTTTACTGGTTCTGCATCTGACCTAAAGTACCAACCTCCTGTACGCCTATAGGAACACTTGGCCAAAAACAGCTCAATGAAAAATTGCAACACACTGCAAAAGTCTGGCGTGTATATGTCTAGCGATCGATTTGGAGCAGTAGGACAGAGGTGGGGTGGTGGCCGAAGCTGGTATTATTGTCCAATTATTTGCTCAGTTCAAGTAGTGGGTGGGAGGCAGGGCAGTGTATGAATCTGGTATTATTACTTGATCATGTGATAAATTCAGAATTAAGTGATAGGGTGGTGGGGCCAACGCCAGTGTTATTACTTCAGTGTTCATTTGATCTGGGAGGTGGATAGTAGATGGATTGGATGGCATATAAAGCCTGTGTTATTGCCTGATAATTTTGCTGCGCAGGTAAACCAGAATGCACTGCAAAAGCACATATTTAAGTATCGATTTGGGGTGGCGGGGGTATGGAATGCGTTAGAGGTGCGGTGTATAAAGCTGGCATTATTTAGCATTGTCTCCGGTGTTATCACCTGCTTGTTTTGCCATCTAGGTGGACGTGCTTATGCCGAACGTGGGAGAGATTGTCGGCGGATCGATGCGTTCATGGAAGTATGATGAGCTGATGAAGGGCTATGAACGTGAGGGCATCGACCCAACGCCATACTACTGGTACACTGACCAGGTAGGTCGACAGCGGTCATTATTTTACCACGCGAATCTCAACTACACTCGCCCTGATTTAATTTATTGTCTGTTTGGGTCTATTAGCGGAATGAGGGCTTGTGCAACGGCTTTGTTTTGGTTTCAGAAACAACAGGCTTTGTTGTTGCAAAGTTACTTGCTGTTGTGCATGTGATGTTGTTAGACGTACTGGTGTAGGTCTCAGTTAAACCAATGTTGTCAATGCTGTTCAACACATTAATTACTGATAGCATAGATTAAACAGTGTTGTAGGACATAGAGCATTATTGTACAGATACTTCGTATATTTCCTGTGACACCTTTCAACACGCAGTGTTGTTTTATGCAACACTGCATAACAATTTGTTTAACTGTGTTGGCAACATTTGCCTTTGCCTTTGCCTTTGCCTTTGGTATCATTGCCTTTAGACTTCTCACAAAAATCTCAATTTGAGGAGGAAATTACCATTTGGTTAATCATGTGCATATTATAGTTCCATATTGTCAAATCTAATTGTTGTCATTGTCATCGTCATCGTCCTTGGTGGTGGGGATGTTGTTGCTGATGTTGATGCTGGCATTGTTTACTGATTATTTAATGAACTAAATCCTCTTGCCTTTGGCGTGTTGTGGTAACATCATTTAGAGCGGAGCGTTTATCGTTGCAGCGTAAGTACGGTAGCTGCCCTCACGGTGGGTATGGGTTGGGATTGGAGCGCTTCCTAACGTGGCTGCTCAACCGCCCTCACATCCGTGACGTGTGCCTCTACCCTCGCTTCATCGAGAGATGCAGGCCATAGTTCATCCACGCGAGCAACTCCAGCACACGGCGGCGCACGGATTGCTGTAACTTAACAGCGCTCAGGGGAGCGAAATTTGCATTTTTGGGTACATGTACACATACCCAGCTTCATACCATATAAGTATATTCATTTGGTCTGAATTCGACTGGACAACAAATTTCCCTACACTGCTACACGTGCTGCAAGCTGACGGCTTAAGTGTCCCATGCAGGCTCTTGAAATCATCAGTGGGCAGGGTTCTGGCCCGAGCTGGGAGCACCGTAGGTGATGTGAAATGCCAATTTCTGTCTCTTTCTGTATCCGTTTTTACAGTATAGGGTGTACCCGAATCATGAACGCAATCAGTCCCACAATGTGTTGTTGTGCAAGTTGATTATTTGTGTAAATGTGCAGGTGGCGCTGTTTGTAGGTCACATTCGTCAATGTTCGTAAGCCAATTAAGGCACTTTCTGCACGTGTCGCGGTCACTGTTGCAGTGACAAGTGCAAGCATACCCACCGTTTCATGCGCTATTAGCAACAATTTGTCTGCAAATACCATCGAAACTCGTTTAACAGAGAAGATATGTTCCTGCGGCTTGTCCACTAGGCGAAACCTCCGTTATACAGCGTTGTTATAACGTGGTGCTTTCAGAGATGCATTGTATCGTGGGATGGTAACCTACAAAGGTGGCAGTGGACAGTATCATTAGTCCTTTTACACTAATTTTGAGCGATTTTGTTACTGAGTGATGCTAATTTACTATTACACAGTGTTCATTTAGTGAGTATTTTACGTCTGTTTCAAGAAAAGCCGGTAAACAATGCTTCTGTAAGCAGTTTTTGATAATATCAGGAGTTAATAATGACAAATTGTCAAATGATTAATTTGTCATTATTAACTCCTGATAATATAGGTAGATTATTTCTGTTCGTAACCATTCGGCTCATGGGCATGCAGGCAATATTCTCATGATGTGATCATGGCAGCATTAACCACACTGATCTAGGCACGGAAATATGTTTGCAAGATATCCAAGTCCTTTTTGTTATCATATCGATTGCAACCTCCCTGTAAGAATGTAAGTGTGTGTTGCTCGACAAAGACGGGAAGATGTCTCTCATGTCAGTGAGGAGCATTCACATCAAGCGGTTTCTTTCGTCTAGAGTAACCTTGTCGTTGTTTGGCCGTCTCGCCGAGAGTAATGCACGCAAAGCTATTTAATTGCTGCCTATTTCAGCTTCCTGCATTAGAGAGTTAATCACAACACTCAAGCATTGGTTTTCCAGCTGCGGCGGTGGTACAAAGATGCTTTCGAGAGAAAGAAAGGGCAAGCCCACTAGAGTAGGTGAGCTAGCGAGTGAGCGAGAGAACATGAGAGAGATAGAAAGGGAGAGAGAGGGGGAGAGGAGAAAGGAGAGAGAGAGAGAGAAAAAGAGAAGCCATTGCTGCAATTTGATTCGTATGCAGCACTTAGCGACGTGGCGGCGTAATGAGATCATTGCATTTATCATAATGTGACCGGTTATATTAGCCACCGTGCGTGTACAGCTGCATAGGTGAATTGTGTTTCGCATGAAGTGTGCCGTGCTACATCATGCGACTAGGTATAGTCCAGCTTTCACAGCCTGCGTCACCAGTAGACTCTGCTAATGCTGTGTTATCACGCACGCATGCAAGAGAAATCTCACAAAGCTTTTCATTTTGTGTGGGCGAGGTTATTTCGCATTGTTCCGAGTAGCAACTAAGTCGCAACATTGTGCGTTCTTGTTTGTTACGTGTTAATCGACGTGGGCACGCCACTCGCGGCAGCATACAGTAAATGTTAAGTTAACGCGTCAATTAAAGTGGTGGAATTTATGTCCGTGGCAGCTTTATTGTTTTAACTAGATCGTGGAGCATGTTTCACAAACGCACGTGCCGATAATTCGCAAACGACGACGAAAAACTCCTAATGAGAACTAACTGTATTAGTCTCGCTACATCATATATCGTTATAGCTCTAGTACTATAGCCCTTCACTCTCTCGCAGCCTGCAGCCACAGCCTAATATAAGCAAGTATGTACAAGTAATGCTGATAGGGTCTATGTCCCCCAGGATACTGCCGGAACGTACCCTGGTAACTATCTAGCTGATATGGTTAGTGTTAGGGTTAGGGTTAGGGTTAGGCATAGGCGACTCACCAAGACTCATTAGTGGATTGGGCGAGGTACGGTCCGGCATATTAGATAGTAGTATTTAGTACCAGGGTACGTTCCGGTATACCGGACCGTACCCACCCTGGGGGACATAGACCCTATCAGCATAAGTAATAGAGCTAATCTCGTTAGTACCAGCTACACCTGTCTTGACAAAAAGAGTACAAGAACTAATGCACAAGGTTTCCAGACCTAAATACTGAACGTTACATACACACAAAATACCTACATAAAAAACATACGTTACATACATAATTTTTATTTACAGTAATTATACAAATGACAGTGATATACGACGACAACAATAATAATAATATTAATAATAATAATACAGCTATCTTACAAACAAATATTTCAGAGTAATACAGTGCAGTACAATGTGTATTTGTAGTTTGTGTCACATTGTCCTAGAACTTCTTGAACTTCTTCCTGGTCATCCAGTACCTTATTTCGTCATTCCTACAGAACATTTATCCAGTCATCCCTACAGAAGCTTTCTATCTATCTAATCATACCTACATAACCTTTATATCCAGTCGCCCTTACAGAACCTTTATATCCAGTCAATCCACGTAGAATCTTTATATCTAGTGACCCTTACAGAACCTTCATCTAGTCCTTATAGATCTCTGGTCATCCATACAGACTCTTCCTGACCATTTCTACACACTGACCATACACCTTCCTGTTGCAAGATAGCCTGTCTGTGTCTACAGTAATCAAAAATAATATACAGGCTACCATGTTTTTGATGTTACTGACAAATATCTTGCAAATATGTATATGTATGTATGTATATACATATATTTATAACATTGTTTTCCCCTTTCATCACACCTCCCTCCCGTTACTTCCCGTTATTCTACTACACAATGAAAGACAAGAACGAGCTTGAATACAGGTGAGGAGTACAGTACCATAATCAATCATTTTGCTCACATAACGCGCCGCAACTACCAGACCGACTAAACAATCCCCAAGGTCTTCCTGGGATGGAGTAGTAGACTGCATCTGTAAGTCGTCGTCACTGACGGAGCCACGCGGACGTTTGTCGGTCTAGTAGAGGACAGTAACGATTGAAGGTGTCTGCCCAACGACTAGCCCGGCCAGGCTGTGCGACGGATTGTCTATCGGTATTCTAACCCTAGCAATACCGTTTCTTGGAGCTACCCAACGACAAGCTCCTGCCAAAGCCCTTCGTAAATATAAACTTGGTTTACACTACCGAATTTGTGTTGGCGAATTGGCGAATTGGACCAACTTCCCAACTATACAACCGACAATCGTCAGTGTAAACGCAAAAGTTTTTTCGACCAACCAATCGATAGCAACTAGTTGGGAGATTAGAACATGTTCTATTTTCGCTTTTGCGAAATTGGTCCAACTCGGCAATTCGCCAACATAAAGTCAGTAGTATAAACCCGGCTTCAGACGAAGGCCGACCACGTTTTTCCTCTCATGTGCGTGATTACTCATCAATGGTTCTAGTCTGTCGTCGTTTCTTTCTTGCCGCGCGCCGACTGGGATTGAATAAGAACGAGTTTTAGCACACAGAGCCGCCACGCTAACCAACCCCGCCGGTGATGCCAGCCAGCTGTGACCTCCTCATACGTTAACAAAACATGAAAAACACTCGCGTAGAGTGCGCAGAAAGTTCACTCATCCAACAAAAAACGAAAAAGCCCGGAGGCTGCCTCGCCATGCCAACTACAACCACCTGCGAAACGGGTCGGAACTCCCTTAATTACGCGCCTTCCTTTGGTTTCAGTTTCCGCGTTGCCTTACGTCGCCCACTTGGTCCACTCCATCAGACCAGTGTGGTACGCATTGAGGTACCATTTTTTTACCAATACCAAAACATTCTGGTTGGACAAGGTGGATGTATCATGTAGCCCGAGAATGCTATGAGATCGATGTACCTAACTCGTCTTTCCTGCTTTCCCCCTATCTCATCCACCATTAGTCCTCTTCGTATCTCCTTCTCCTTCCTTCTACCATCTATTCCATCCCTCGTCGTCTTCCTACTCTCTCCTCACCGTGTCATTTGTTCCCCGCCTATACTTCTTTCCTCCGTCCCTCCCTCCTCCTGCATAACCGTTCATCGTTTTCCTACACACACTTTCTTTCCTTCTCTTCGTACCCCAACTCCTTCATATCTGTTATCCCCTCCTTCCCTCATCCTTCGCATTCCAATCCTTTCCCTTTTATTCCTCCCTTTCCTCCTTCCTCGCGCAACCTTCTGCATAGCCAGCGTCACATATATTTGGTCATTAGAGGTGCTCTCAACTCGTTGGATAAGACACTAAACTCGTAGCGAGGCAGCACATGCGCGCACAGACCTGTAGTTGTTATATCGTTCACATCACTCATCACATCACACAACATTCATCGCAAGCTAGTGAAGACTGTGCATGGAACGACAGAGTTGTATCAGGAGTTAATAAAGACAATTTGTCTTTATTAACTCCTGGTTGTATGTATACGATGCTGCTCCGACTCACAGGGAAGCGATCAATCCATAAACGAATTAATGATGTAGAAATGAAATTTCGAAAGAAACTTTCAATAATATTGAATCTGTGAATACGTCAACTTCTCCTCTCTCGTTCTCACTCCCTCCGCTCTCTTGAGTGCTAGCACTGCTGTTACAGATAAACCTCTTTGCTATTCGTTCATGATCAGTATCTATAGTTGGGCATCCCCACCTATACATCTCACCATCTTTCTCGCCTACACGTACCATTGCTATACAGTTCCAACGCATTATTTCATCAGCAACATATCATGTATATATATAATTACGTGGTTAAATATAATGATATATACAATTTGACATTTGACATAGAAAACATATACTATCAGATACCGATAAACGATCATTTGACCAAGTCACAATATAGGTCTAGATACACCCGCGTAACAACCCCACTCACCCCCGCCACCTACTAGACGTTAGTTAAGTCCGTTTCTCGCCTCGTCAACAATTTATCTATGTTTTTTACAGATACGCACACATACGCACGCACGCACGCACGCACGCACACACGACCGCACGTATATCACTACTGCTATGACAGCAGGAGATGACAGTATGTACGTACTACGTAGGCCTACATATGAACGCACGCACACGTTGCCAGCGTGAATCACAATAACCGCGCTCGCTCGTTCGCTGACGCCTCCACCGATCCATCGCCTGCTGAATAACTTCCTACAATAGCTTTACTATGCATATTTACAGGAGCGAATAAAAACAAAATGTTCTTTTATATTCATTCCTGATATTTACGTTACAGAGGCCGGAATGCAATAATAATACTGCATGCGATACTTCCCCTCCCTGCACCACCGCAGTATGTGTGTGTGACTACGTGCGTGCGTGCGTGCGTGCGTGCGTGCGTGTGCCCGCGCGTGGTGTGCGTGGAGTGCGTGTATGTGTGTGTGTGTGCCCGCGCGTGGTGTGCGTGGTGTGCGTGTATGTGTGTGCCCGCGCGTGGTGTGCGTGTGTGCGTGCGTGCGTGCGCGCGTGGTGTGCGTGTGTGCGTGTATGTGTGTGCCCGCGCGTGGTGTGTGTGTGCCCGCGCGTGGTATGCGTGCGTGTGTGCATAGCTAGTACCCTTTCCCACTGAAACTGTTGAAATATAGACGCTAACGCTGTTCAACGTAAACAGGAACCCGCCGCTTGTGTAACGAAGGCGGGTAGCCTACTATCGGCGTATTAAACTCACGTAAATAATCACACAAGTTCGCAAAAACGATCTTTATCCTCGCCAACGCCTGCTTGCCACAAACTATAGAGTCACGGGTGGTGGCTACCAGATACGTGTGTACGCCTCGAAGATCTAGCTTTCACACGCACGCACGCACACACGCACGCACGCACACACACATGGATGTTGTACACAACATCGTCATCATCTTTGCCATTGTCGTAGTCGTCGTCGTCGTTGTCATCATCATCATCATTATCATCATCATCATCATCATCATCATCATCATCATCATCATCATCATAATCATCTTCTTCATCTTCTTCTTCTTCTTCTTCTTCTTCTTCTTCTTCTTCTTCTTCTTCATCATCATCACCATCACCATGATCACTGTAGTCGTAGTCGTCGTCGTCGTCGTCGTCGTCGCCGTCGGCGGCACCACCATCAACTTCTAATGATATGTGCGCAAAACATCAATCCACTACAAACTTCAAAAGTCCTCGAGATATTACAAAATAGATTTCTTTGCCTATTTTAGCATATGACGAACGAACGCCCCAAATTTCTCTGTACGTACTGTCAGATAAACTAGCTCTAACTACTACTGTATAGTCTTCGGTGCACTGCGTGGTGCAGCAAAGGCTATAATAACTAGAGCTACAGGTATCCATCTTTCGTCAGCGACAGCAAACTCGGTGCCAGTTTGTTTCTTTGTTGGAATGACATTTTCGCAAAATAGATATAGGTACACCTATTTCTTATGGCTATATGCCTATAAATATAGACATTATATGTATGTGTGTGCATGCGTGCGTGGGCAAGATATACGTATATATATATATATACATACATATATATATATATACACATATATAGCAGGACTAGCATCTATAGATTTCATCCACTCCTAATTTGAATGTCCGATACTATTTCACTAGATAGGCGAGTGTTAGTG